GCCGATGTCAGCCCGCTTCGCAAGCTGGGCAGCTCGGCTTCAGCACTGAGAAGGGCGGCCTAAGCAAGTCAGCACATGTAGCTCTGGTGCATAGTTGAACACCCAAGTTGGCCTCACACGCTAGAGCTGGCTTTGACAAACACATGATGAGGTCAAATTACATGAACCTGGGGGTAACTGTCAGCGTCAAAAACAGTGCCTTCAGGCGCTCATTCTCCTTCTGCAGCCACTGGTGCGAGGACCTCAGGCATTGCAATGGCCTGAAAATGTCCTTCAAAACTGACTTCCTGACAAGGCTGCTGCTCCTTTTGTGCCCCTCTTCTCTCAGCCGCATCGGCGGTTTCCCGCGCAGCCTTGGCAGTTCTGCACGAGATGCAGCCAACTGCTGGCTTCCATGAAACTGCTGGACACAGAAAGGCGTGCCCCGACTCTTGAAGAACATCATGGTACCGCAGTACTTGCCTCCAGCTCATCTTTGCATTCTCGAAGCTCGTTCTGGGCATCACCTCGACACGCCAACGGACATGTGCAAGGTTGCCTGCACCTCTGCAGGCCCAACGCATTGGCGATTCTTCCCAGCAAGGGACGACCCCCCCCATCCTCCCCCGCCCCCGCCCGGATTCTCCGCCCAAGGGGCGCTCGCGCCGTGCAACTTGAGCGGCAGAAGCCTGCGCTCAATGAATCTCACACCAAGGGCAAAGAAATTGCCATCTGCAAAAGATACAGGAATTCTGCAGCTGTCCAGCTATTGGGCAAAATCCCACCTCCAACTGCTTCAGCTGCCTCTGTATCAACTCCATGTCCTCTTCCGCTCGCACGCACCGCTGCTGAGAAGCCCGGGATTCTTCTTTGGCCTACGCGTCTCGCCAGATTCAACGGCGACTCGCACTGAGTGCAGGACCTCGAGTAGCTGCCGATCTGCAGTGGTCAGCCCACTCCGCAAGCTGGGCAGCTCGGCTTCAGCACTGAGAAGAGCGGCCTAAGCAAGTCAGCACATGTAGCTCTGGTGCATAGTTGAACACCCAAGTTGGCCTCTCACACGCTAGAGCTGGCTTTGCCAAAGACATGATCAGTTCAATTTACATGTGCCAAACTTGGGGGTAACTGTCAGTGTCAAAAACAGTGCCTTCAGGCGCTCATTCTCCTTCTGCAGCCACTGGTGCGAGGACCTCAGGCATTGCAATGGCCTGAAAATGTCCTTCAAAACTGACTTCCTGACAAGGCTGCTGCTCCTTTTGTGCCCCTCTTCTCTCAGCCGCATCGGCGGTTTCCCGCGCAGCCTTGGCAGTTCTGCATGAGATGGAGCCAACTGCTGGCTTCCATGAAACTGCTGGACACAGAAAGGCGTGCCCCGACTCTTGAAGAACATCATGGTACCGCAGTACTTGCCTCCAGCTCATCTTTGCATTCTCGAAGCTCGTTCTGGGCATCGCCTCGGCCAAATTACTAACTGAGGCAGAACATGTGTTAACACACACGCCAACGGACATGTGCAAGGTTGCCTGCACCTCTGCAGGCCCAACGCATTGGCGATTCTTCCCAGCAAGGGACGACCCCCCCCATCCTCCCCCGCCCCCGCCCGGATTCTCCGCCCAAGGGGCGCTCGCGCCGTGCAACTTGAGCGGCAGAAGCCTGCGCTCAATGAATCTCACACCAAGGGCAAAGAAATTGCCATTTGCAAAAGATACAGGAATTCTGCAGCTGTCCAGCTATTGGGCAAAATCCCACCTCCAACTGCTTCAGCTGCCTCTGTATCAACTCCATGTCCTCTTCCGCTCGCACGCACCGCTGCTGAGAAGCCCGGGATTCTTCTTTGGCCTACGCGTCTCGCCAGATTCAACGGCGACTCGCACTGAGTGCAGGACCTCGAGTAGCTGCCGATCTGCAGTGGTCAGCCCACTCCGCAAGCTGGGCAGCTCGGCTTCAGCACTGAGAAGAGCGGCCTAAGCAAGTCAGCACATGTAGCTCTGGTGCATAGTTGAACACCCAAGTTGGCCTCTCACACGCTAGAGCTGGCTTTGCCAAAGACATGATCAGTTCAATTTACATGTGCCAAACTTGGGGGTAACTGTCAGTGTCAAAAACAGTGCCTTCAGGCGCTCATTCTCCTTCTGCAGCCACTGGTGCGAGGACCTCAGGCATTGCAATGGCCTGAAAATGTCCTTCAAAACTGACTTCCTGACAAGGCTGCTGCTCCTTTTGTGCACATCTTCTCTCAGCCGCCTCAGCGGCTTCCCGCGCTGCCTTGGCAGTTCTGCACGAGATGCAGCCAACTGCTGGCTTCCATGATACTGCTGGAAACAGCAAGGCGTGCCCCGACTCTTGAAGAACATCATGGTTCGGCAGTACTTGCCTCCAGCTCATCTTTGCATTCTCGAAGCTCGTTCTGGGCATCGCCTCGGCCAGATTACTAACTGAGGCAGAACATGTGTTAACACACACGCCAACGGACATGTGCAAGGTTGCCTGCACCTCTGCAGGCCCAACGCATTGGCGATTCTTCCCAGCAAGGGACGACCCCCCCATCCTCCCCCGCCCCCGCTCGGATTGTCCGTCCAAGGGGCGCTCGCGCCGTGCAACTTGAGCGGCAGAAGCCTGCGCTCAATGAATCTCACACCAAGGGCAAAGAAATTGCCATCTGCAAAAGGTACAAGAATTCTGCAGCTGTTTAGCTATTGGGCAAAATCCCACCTCCAGCTGTATCAACTCCATGTCCTTCTCCGCTGGCACGCACCGCTCCTAAGAAGCATCTCTTCTTTGGCCTACAATGGCGGCTCGCACTGGGCGCAAGACCTCTGGCAGCTGCTCATCTGCCGCGGCCAGCCCACTTCGCAAGCTGGGCAGCTCGGCTTCAGCAGTGAGAAGAGCGGCCTAAGCAAGACACAAATTCTCCGGTGCATATGTCCTGGGCGCCCTTTAAATGAGAAGTAGCCGCGTAGGTCTATGAGCCTCGTGCGATGGAGGAAATTTTGCGGTCATGGACAAGTTGATGGTCTCTTCGCAGGATGCATGTCCGCCGTTACACCGGCTCGACACGGCCGCGGCAAATCCATCTGCTCCTTCTCATGCTCATTTGACATTATGCTTTCGCAAAAACCTGCTCCGCTACCACAATTGAAGTTGGAAATATAGGTCCGGGAAATGGATCTATTCCGAAGAAGAATAAATCTGTAAGGCAAGAGGGAGATGACCAAATATGTAAGAAGGCAGCGCTTGCCTTACTTGTAAACCCAAGATGACCAATACCACAAATCAGCAAGTGTGAAGCATTTTTCATCGAAGTTGGAAAGTGCTAGCCTGGATTGCTCATGAGTGGAATACTGTGAATCAAGCACAGAACAAACAAGAACCAAGGGGACGTTTGGGGCTTGTCCTCTAGCTCACGGCGCAAGCCTCACTAGTATTGTGAATCTAGCCAATGTGAGTTCAACAGACACGCCGCCTGTTAGCTTGATGTTCAGCTCCACCTTTTTCTTTGCGCGTCCGTCTGAGCTACTCTTCGAGCCCTGCCTCACGGTCAGAGGTCTCGCTGATGACAAGCTCAGACTCCAACCTCCTTGGAGGAGCCAAACTCTTCCGGGCATGCGTCGTGGTTAGCTGCGACGGGAGCGTCTCCAGCTGCCGCCGGCTCCGCCCCAACTCAGCGTCCAAAGCCCTTTGAGCGCAGCTGCACCTCTCGGTCTGCCTCTCGTTTCCTTCCGCTCTCCGACGCCGCCAACGGAGGCACCAAAGACTCAAAAGAGGCCGGTCATCCACCTGAGCGTTGCCTCCTTAAAACTCCCTCTGGCACGTCGCCGCCTTTCTTTGACGCTCTCTCTCAGCCTCCCTTTGCGCTTTCCTGGAATTTCCGCAATCCTTAAGCAGGACTGGATAGTGAGTAGGCTCTCTATTTCCATTCCCCTCTTGTCTCACATCTGTGGATGAATGCCAATCAATGGTGCTGCGAAAAGGTGAGAAGCCAGCTAATGAAAACCTCGTGCCCAAACAAACAGGCAGGGTGGGAAGGCATGTGAGAGAGCTGATGGTCAAGTCCTGACATGCAAACGAATAGAACATATCTCTTGCCGTATAATCATTTATGGTTCTCTAGCCCTCCCTAATCCTCCGTTCCGCCGCCCTGTCGAAGGACAGCGGCTCCCACGGACGCATCAGCCGGGGCTCGCGGGCTTCGCGGTGCTGCTGCAAGCGCTTCTGGAACTCCGAGGCCGAGCGCAAGGTGCGCAGCAGTGCTTGCACCTGGACGGCGGCCCCCCTCATCACACCTCATGGCCGGGTTTTCCAAGCGAGCGGGGCACAGGCAACCCGAACCCAGAAGACGAAGAACCTACGAGTAGCAAACATCTTCTTGCTGGTCATGGCGCGGTATTTGCGTCTTGCTCTGCTTCCACGCCACCTCTTCTGCATCCGTACGACGTAGACCTGTCACAAAGCCAAGTTGCATCATTGATGGCCGGAGATGTCACTTGTAAGCTCAAAGGCACTGTGATGCAGCATCCTGCCTTGACTGCCTCGCCGAGCGCCTTCTCCAATCTTCCTTGCAACTCCTCTTTCCTCAAACGCTCTCAAACTTGGGCTTCAGCGGTCAAGCAAAATAAGGTGCTCCAGCCAGGCAAAACCAGAAATGATTTGCCCCTGCCACAACAAACAAATCGCGGCCCAACCAACACAATTTGTGCCCAGACCTTCATACGAAGGCATGCCGGCATCCATCAATCAATCCATCCATCCATCCATGCAATCAATCAATCAATCAATCAATCAATCAATCAATCAATCAATCAATCAATCAATCCATCCATCCATCCATCAACCAACCAACCAACCAACCAACGAATCAATCAATCAATCAGTCAATCAATCAATCAATCAATCAATCAATCAATCAATCAACCAATCAATCAATCAATCAATCAATAAATCTGTGATTCGGGCACGAACCTGTGCCCAGGCAATGGGTTAGTTGGGGTAAACAAGCCACAAAGAAAGGTTCCCCAAAAGCAAACCAATCCCCGGTCCCAAAGATCAGGGTTTCCCACACACCAGAGAACAACAACCAAAAGGGAAAACCAAAACAAGTAAACAAGTACCCGCAACCTTGATCGACGCTGAACCGCACGGGCGGACCCCACCAATCTGCCCCGGGCCGATGTCTCTTTCTCCACCGACACGAAGGTGATCGACGCAGGGACCCGGCGACGCTCACGGACCCGCAAACTTGAGCCTTGAGCCAAACACCACCGGTCAGTCACTACCGCGACTTCCCAGATGATGATTTAAGCCATGGCTAACCACACCCCCCTCACGAGGAGCCCGTCATATGACGGGTGGAGCGTGCCATTTACTGATAGGATTTAACTGCTCGCATACGTCCGCAAACAGCTGGACACTACCGCCGTCAGCGGTGGAGCAAACCCACAAAGGCAGTCGCGCGACATCCCGGGCATTAAATTCCCGCCACCACGCCGAATTAATCGGGGTAACGCTGTCCAACATACCTCGTGGAAGAGTCCACATGACGACAACTGTTTGCATCAGAAATGCAAGTCGTTCAATTCTTATCAGAAGCCATGAATATAAAAAGGATATCATATGTCGATTTTGTACCCTCGCCTATCGGCGAGAGGTACACCTGACCATGCGTACTTGAAAAACACAAATTCCGCAAACCTGGGAGTATCCTCCACCGGTTTGCATCCCCGTTCACTCACACTACTTCTTGGTGACCATCACCAGCAGCCGTGCAGCGGTGCAGGAGAGACACGAACAACACGCCTCAGCGGTGCAGGATGAACATGATCATCACCCCGCAGCGTCGACCATCGGAGAGAGGGCGCAAGCCTATCGGCCGCAACCCTCGTGATTCAGCCTATCGGCTATCATCACGCCTCCTCCGGTCACGTCCGCCCCGCGCACGGTCCCTGTCGCGATCCCTCTCGGATCTCCTGCGATCATCTCTCCTTCGATCTCGCTCCGCGGTCGATACCTGCGCCTTCTCGACTCTCGGGAATCTCTGGTGTCCGTCCTAACGGACCTTCGGGAGGGCGTGCGGGAGACATCCGTACCCCGACGTGCCCGCTCTGCATGGGAGTTCGCCACAATCTGGTTGAGAACTTCCAACGCCGAGCCTTCCTCGCCGTTCCTGATGAATTCTCTAACCTGTCTGTTGAGCACCCGGTTGGAGGACATCGCCAGGAACGCATCCACCGTCGAAGCATCCGGTAGCGTCCTGAAGTGGCCTTCTACCGGGCTCGCAGCAACCCGCTCCGCCGAGTGCAGTCTGACCTCACTCCCTTCGGGCTTCTTCGCCATTGCTTTGGTAGCAGTCAAGGGCGCTACCGCGTCCTTTACTGAAGATCTGCCAAGCGCGGAGTGGAGATCATCTCCACTTGCCTCTCTCCTGGCCTGCTGTCAACATCGTCGGGTCTCTTCGATGCCTCCCGCTTCGTTGATTCCTTTGCAGGCACCTCTGGATCCCAACGAGATTTTCTTTCCCTCTTTTGCTTTTCAGCCGAGCCCCGACTATCGCCGGGAGCATCGACTCCGCTCCCCTCTCCTTCTTGACCTCAACCTTCGGGTCAGCTCGCTTCGTCTCCTTGGACTCAGCCCTCGGAGCCTGAGCGCTCTTCGCCTCAGGAACTGGAGTTGCCTTCCCCTTCGGCTCGGCCTTTGGGGCTGGAACCCCACTGGCCTTTGGGGACGGAGTCGTCTTTGCCTTTGCACTTGGCCGAGCTCCTTCAACCGCTATCGCGACCCAAGATTTCTTCGGTTGAACCTCAGGTGGATCAACTTCCATCGGAGTCGGTCCAGCATCAGCGTTCGCCTTTGCTTTTGGAACGGCGGGGCTATCCTTTTCCCGATACCTCACCTGACTTTGGTCGTGGGTCGGAAGGACCATCGCCCTTACCACCCTTTTCACCCTTCTTCCCTTTTCCTTTTTCCACCCTTGATGACCGGCTCCTGCTTTGGACCAGGACCCTGTGCAGCATGATGCACCGACTGAAGCTCGTCGATGTTCACGTCTTGCGGCTCAGGTTGTTTACCATCAACAACGGTCCTCACCTTTTCGTCACTAACGTAGACGAATGGGTCACGGAAAGGGGCAGGAGGCTCTGACCGTCCATCTCTGATCGCCTTCTGCACCTTGGCAATCGCCTCCCTCAGCCTTTTCTTCTCATCGTACCCCGTCGACCCATGTAGTTCCTGATATCAGCCATCAGCCGATGACTAGCCAGGATATCTGCATCCTTCCTATGGGTTGGATACATCGGAGTCAGATGACCCGCAGCAGCACCGATCACATAAGCCATCGGAATGTAGAAGGACAAATATGTGTCATGACGAGCGAACTTCCTAACGGAAGTCGTCATACGTCTTCCCCATTGGGCTGCATGCGCCGGATTCGCTCGGAAGTACTCAGTCACCGACTCAAGTGTATCGATTTGGTTGGTTTTGATCAGGCGCTTCGCCACCCACTTCTCCACGAAGGCGTCCGATGCCGAGATGCCCGACACGTAGGAGAACTGAAAGAGCACCTTCGCCATTTCATCCCACGCCACGTCGACTCCACCCTTATTCCCCGAGATAGGGGCAACCGGATGCCGCTCTGCACCGTCAACCTCAGGTCGGATCCCATCGAATAGGAAATCAAGTTCCTCTTGATGACCCCGACAACATCGGAAGCGATCCTCTTGGGACTGAACTGTCCCATGCTCCTCACCCACTCCGGGACAATGTAGCTCCTCGCGAAGTCCTCCTCGTCCGCGTTGGGGATGAAATTCGGGTAGAAGACCGGGAGCGCACATCCAGGGCACAAGTGCATCCCAGATGGCGTGATCTCCGCGCACCTCAAACAGAAGGTACTGGTCACATTCAGCCTGACACCCTCACGCGTCCGCTTGTGATTCCCCCTATCGGGAGTAAAACCACCATAGTCCCAAACGAGATGATACACTAATCATCGAACATGCACGCGGCCTTCCACGCACCCATCTGGATCTCGTCCCGAACGGCGAGAGTCTTCCTCCTTGTCAGATACACGGGCCCAATCAGCGACCAGTGTACCCGAAGATCCACCATGACCACTACGTGTCTACCTGAGTAGTTCCGCAGCCTGTCCCTGACGTACCACGAAGGCGATACCTTGGCATCGGGGCGCAGAGGCACCGCGATTGGACGAGTTGTACTCATCTGGCCTTGTGATCAATATCTCGATCATGGCCTTTCCATTCCGCCTCATCCTTTGGAGTTGGACCGCCTTCCTGAAGTCCTGGAACTTCATCACAACGTACCCCACCATAGGAAGCTCATCCCAGTGCATCTCATACATCTCTCTGTCTCTCTGTCTCTCTCCCTCTGTCTCTTTCTCTGTCTCTCTCTCTTCTCTCTCTTCTCTCTCTCTCTTTCTCTCTCTCTTTCTTTGTCTTTCTCTCTCTTTCTTTCTCTTTCTCTCTCTTCTTTCTTTCTCTTTTTCTCTCTTTCTCTCTTTCTCTCTTTCTCTCGCTCTCTCGCTCTCTCTCGCTCTCTGACCTCGACCTGCCCGACCGGGAGAGCCTTGATTGCCGGATTGAAGAATGTCCAAGTCATCTCAGCATTCTCCATCCCCACAACCTCCAACCACACGGCCTGATCAACATTTTTTACCCTATTTCCAGCCTCACGCCCAGTCTCCTTCAGCACCCTCTCCTCGAATAACTCCGAGACCCTCTTCGTTGATGACCAAATCATCAAATTCGCACGTGAGCAGCTTCATTAAAGCCTGTGCAGCCTCCCGCCCTGCGGTTGTGGCCGCCGCCGCCTGATCATAACCTGGAACGTACTCACTCATCCGGAACCACTATCTGGCACGTCCTAGCCTCATTAGGCGCTAGCCCAGCAGTTCGCAAATCCTGTCACTATCGGCAAGATAATCCTTCTTTCCGTCTGTCAAGAGACGGCAAGGTGACGTCCCGTGGGACGCTATGCACCGAACCCTCAAGCTGTAATACCAACCACGTAGAAAGGTGTATACGGACGATGCCGTTATAGCCGAACCCGTGTAAACGTTGTAAGGGAGAAGGAATGATAGTTACAACAGTGGTCCTGACAAATGCAGCGCAAGCAAAGAGTTTTCGCTCTCAATGCCGATCACGTATGTATGCAGTCACACATCAGATCTTGAACCTCAATTGTGTCTTGAGCCAAATGGCGATCAATGGAACTTGGGAAGCAACACCAACAAGGACCTCAGAACAGCTACCCAATTTCGGCACGGGGCCTAGAGGGTTTTAACATCCCCCATTTGGGTCGCATTGTTCATCATGCGGTCCAAACACCACAAAACGTTCCACTGGCCACGGCTTCAACTACGAAATCGTGTCGTGCATTCTTTTACTTGCTATCACTACACCGTTCATTCGCTGTGAAACATGCCGGGTTCGATTGTACGAAAAGTGAAACATTCATCCTCCAATCGAAGCACACATCCATATGCAGGTGTATATAATACACAATCGTCACGTCATTTGACCACCAACGAACAATCCAGCTGCCGCATTTGCGCATCGCGCAGCTGT